AAATACACATGTTTTTTTATGAGCTTTGGTAGCAAGTAGTTTAAGTGGTTTTCAAATTGATTGTAATTACCATTAGGTGGTCTATATAATGCTGTTATAAATGCATTTTTATTTGTTTTATTAATTATTTCAATTGTAAATGACTCACAATCAACGTCATTTACTTTGAGGTTTTCTATGTACTTAAAAGTCAATGAGTTTTGGACGAAAATTGATACGCCCCCACCAATACCGTTTACTCTAGGTTGATGAATGGATTTATATCCTGATAATTGAAAGTTAGAATTAATCGTGTCTCGATGACACCAAGTTTCAGTCAGACAGATAATACTAAACTTGTTACTTATATTATTTAACATAAATTTTAAATTATCAAAGTTTTTATTTATGCTTCTGATGTTTAAATGTAATAATGAAAAATGGGATGATAAAGAATTAAGAACATGATTAACATCGTCAACATTGTAATAAGCCGTTTCTACTAAAATTTCGTCAAAAATGTTAATATTTTTATTATCGTCATTACTTCGGTTTAGTGTGTTTTTCCTTCCTGATATGTCAAAAACATTATTATTGCTGGCTTCCGCCATTTTAGCAATAATAAATAAAAATACTATTTAAATTACAAAAAATATATACAAAAAATAAATAAACTTTAAGCATTTTTATGAGATTTTTAAAAATCTTTAACTACTAATTTATCATAAATAACGACAGAATATTTACCGTTATTCCTGTGAGCTCGCATTTCTTCAAAGAGTTTGTTTTTAATACTGTTGTTTTAAAACTGTTGTAAGACATTTCTACAACTATTGGAAACCAAGCTTAAGTTTCAGACAATTTTTATTTCAGACCATCCGCAGCTTATTAAGACTAATTACCTAAGCACAATAGTAACATAAATTTTCAATCATTATTCATACGCAACGATTTTTTTCTCCCGGTGATGTTTTTTTTTTAGCTTTCTTAAAATCTTTTCTTTTGTGAATGCATGATCGTTACGTTACATATGTTTGTATATATTAATCTTTATAAAACTTCAAAAGTATTTTGTATTTTAAAATAATAAAATATTAATAAAAAAAGTGGCTGCCATCAGAAGGACTCGAACCTCCTACTTCCTTGTTCAGAGGTTCGACGCCTTATCCACTTGAGCTACACCGAGACATCATGTTGTGTAGATTTTATAATAATGTTGTAACTTTTTTGAGGAAAAAATCTTTTAGATTAAAATTAAGGAGAGTTTGACGCAATGTAATTTTCAAGTGAAAATCAAACTGTAAAACATGATAAATGTTTCAGTATGTTTTAACATATGCTTTAACATTACTTAGTTTAAAGTTTACGTACGTTAGATATTCGTTCACGTTTTCTTATAGTGCTGCGACTCTTACTTGCCAATACCTCGGTTGCAATGGCTGCCAAGGGTTTCGTGTCAAATACGCTCCAAGGGACACTACTATTAAAACTATTAGGTTCGGCAATATTATATAGAGTATATATATATATATATATATATATATATATATATATATATATATATATATATATATATATATATATATATATATATATATATATATGTATATATATATATATATATATATATATATATATATATATATATATATATATATATATATATATATATATATATATATATATATATATATATATATATATATATATATATTAACAGTGCTTTCAAAAAAAAATAGACGCAGTAAAATATAAGTACATTTTCTTTTTCAAAACATCGTAAAATCCCATCTATATTTCCTAAACACTTAACTTTTTTTGAACGAGAGGAATATTATTTCTTTACAATTATGTCAATAACAACTTAATATATAGTTACTTTTTTTTAATAATTTACTTTTTTCAAAGGAATACAAAAAACGTACCGGAAAAAATTTGTCAAGAAAATAGGGGCACAAAATTTTTTTAATTGACTTCCGTTCGACTTTATTGTCAATCAAAGTGTTATTCATAACTATTTTTTTAATTTATATTTTACTTTGACAATTTGCCGTGAAATGTTGGATAAAATCACTTATGATGTGCAGTTAAGTTACATTTAAAGCCTTTTTAAATAATTTGATAAGACCTAAAAGTGAATATACATAGAAATGGGTCGAAAAGCAGTGAGCAAAACAAAAGTGTGGCAAATAATAGGTATAAAGGATGGGTCAATGATCAATAATAGAAAAATTGCAAGGTTAAAAAATTCAAAAAACTGCATCAGATATACTCTAAAGACATTTAAAAAACAGGTGGAATGAAGGTTTTTTAACTACTGAATGCAAAAATGTTCTTACATTTTGTCAAGCAAGAGCCGATCCGATGTGAAGTTATCGTGAACTCATCGACGCATTTAACAAAAAATGTGAAAAACGTATTTCTTCAAATGCAGTTTGAAATATTTTACTAAGGAAAATAAATTGATGTCAATAAAGGTCTTAGAAAATCTATGTTGACGGCCAGAGATCGCCTTACAAGATTTAGGTGTTGTAAGGAGAGAATTAGGTGGTCTTTGGAGAAGTGGAAGCAATTAATTTTTAGTGATAAAAGTTACTTCGAAGTGATAAGTAGAAAAAGAAAACTCTTGTCAAAAAATTTAAATCGGAAAAGTATAGTAACTGCTTTGTTGTATCAAGGTTGTAAAGTGGCGGTAGCATTGTTGGTATTTAGGGCTTAATTTTAATTGCTTCAATTTTAACGGAGTAGGATTGTGTTATTGTAACATCATTACAGGTTGAATCAACCAACATGCATCTATAGAGACGCTAGAGAACTGCATGGTTCCATCAGTAGACATGCTGAATTGATCAAAACGAATGGAAGCAATTTCAATAAGATTTGGCTCCTGCCCACACAGCTCGTACAGTAAAACCATGGATAAAATAAAATAAAGTAAATTTACTGCCTTGGCCAGCTCGATCACCAGATTTGAATAGACAAAGAATAAGTCAAGGTGCAATTACGATCTGAAACTAGCCTAAAGCAAAAACTAAAAAACCAATTAGAGAAAAGATCAAAATAAAATCTGCAACAATCTTGTAAAATTGATGCAAAAAAGATGTGCTGCTTACAAAAAAGCTCGTAGGAGATATTGTAGGGTTGCCAGACATCCGGTTTTTACGGAGGAGAATACAACGCCAAACCTGTAAATATATTTTTTTTTACTGTTTTCTTATTCGTAAAGGCCGGGCATCTGGCAACCCTACACTTATGTTTGTCCGCACTTATGAAATTCACGCTTTTTCAGTCGTCCCCATAAAAGTTACAGAAAAACAGACGGCGAGTTCACCGACTTTTCTTTCAAACGTTGACGGTTGCTTAAAAGTTTGGAAACCAAAGTTTTTAATCATTTAATCATATTCTTTTTTTTTTCCATTTTTATTTTGAATTGTTTGTTTTTCAGTTTGTTCGTTTAAACTAACCTGCTCAGAACATAAATAAAACGTTTGTTTTGATGTTTTTAAGTTAATTATTTTATTAAAAATTTAAATGATACAGTCTTTTTTTTTATTTTAACTAATTTATTTAGTTTTTAAATAAAAACTTTGTTTTGCCGGGGTTTTTTTTTAATGATTTTATTAAGAATTTAAATACAACGTTCGTTTTTTGGTTTTAACTTTAATTATTTCATTCCCAGTGGGCACCCGACGTCAATCCGACGTCGGATTTACGTTTGATTTTCATCAGCGATGTCAAAAGACCTATTCCGACGTTGTTCCGATGTCAGTAAAATGACGTCGGGCGATGTCTTTATCTCAACATCCCCTGACGTCGTTTCGATGTATTTTGACGTTGTTCCGACATCTTATAAAAGACGTCCAAAAAACGTCGCAGTACTGACATCGATCCAACGTCGATAAAAAGACGTCGGGCAACGTCATAATATTAACGTACTCCGATGTCTTTTGACGTCTTCCGACGTCAATCCAACGTCCTTAAAACGACGTCGGAACAACGTCGTAAGACATCGCTGATGAAAATTTAATCCAAACCCAACAATATGTGTGCAATTGCGCTCTTCAATAATTATGTGAACTAAGCGTGTTTTTTTATTAATGGAAAAAAGTTTGAATAAAGATTGATAAAACATCATGAGGTTTTGTATGATGCACTAGCATAGTTTTTTAACTATTAACATTTTCGAGTACACATTTTTTATAATATATAACTATTCGTTTTAATATTTATATAATATTTAAACAAAATTATTTCTTATCAAAGTAATAATTCCCAAATAGCTACAAGTATAAATTACTAAATAAACACATTAATTAATATGTCCTTGTGGTGTAGTGGTAAGCGCATAGGATATAGTAACTAATAGACCGAGGTTCGATTCCTGCTAATGGCAGCGTTTTTTAGTTTTTAAAAAACACGTTGGATTTACATCGGAATGCCGACGTCGCGCGATGTCAGTTTATCCGACGTCAAATAACATTTCCATTTCCAGCGTAAACCCAACGTCGATCCGACGTCGAGATCCGACGTCGCTCGACGTTCGTTCGACGTCAAAATGCCCACTGGGTTTAGAATTTAAACAAAACGTTTGTTTTGCCGTTTTATATATTTGAAATAACAAATAAAATTATGTTTTAAAATTTTCATTTTATATACTAACATCTTTAGACATGTTTTGAGTTATTTGAAAATGACATGAAAATGTTTTGAGTTATTTAATTGCATATATAACAAAACTGTTCCAAACATTATAATTAAAAACATGTTTTGTTACTTAATATATTGAACAATTGTTATACAATGATTGTGACTTTCTGCATCCACTGTTTCCAACTTGTGTATATTCAATATACTTTTACTTGAATTTTACATTGAATTTATTTTTGAAGGTCAATAATAAGTTACAGTCAATAAAAAATAACAACAGCAACAACAACAAAGTTAGTTAACACAATTAATTAATATTAAATGAAGTAGAAAAAGAGATGCAAAATAATGAATAAAAAACTAATTTTACTCACTTCTGAACGCTAGTAGAAAACATGGTTATTAAACCACATGTCTCTGAAAGAGTAAAAAAAAACACATCTTACTAATTTTTATTTTTACTACCATTATTTAAGCATTTTTTTTTATCATTTTAGAATTTAAGCATTTGCTACCAAACACCATATAGTAAGTGTAACCAAAACTGATTTTTAATGAGTGACATCATCAAAATAAGTGGTTTTATTTTTTTTTTTAATAATTAAATTTACTTCTATGTTTCAACTATAAATAATAATTATAAATTCATTTTAAATGCAATAATTCAGATTAGTCATCATTTTATTAGTTCAAATGCTTTGAATAGCAAGATGTTGCTCTGACTTGAGAAAATAAGATTATGACGAATCTGAATTATTGCATTTAAATTTTAACATTTAACATAAAATATAACAAATGTGTTATGTAAAAGTATGCCCTATACAAAAAATGCAATAACCTACAACTTTTTAGTTTTTACTTTAAAAATTTTTTTCAAAGTAAAAACTACAATATAATTCAATTATAATTCATTAGTTTCTATTTTTATTTTTTTTTACTAAATTCTTTACATAGTTTTGGCAGTTAAAGCGTATGAATAAATGTACTCTAATTTTACCTGTAAGTGAAGATATTTACATTGTGGAAAAATTAAGTTTGATTATAGAAAAGAATGATTGTAAAGTATAGCATAGAAGCAAGCATTTACAGGGCCGACGATGCCGTTTTTTGGCGTTAGAAATAGCTAACTTTCAGACATTGCGTAAACTCCAACATTTATATGTTTATACTTATATCAAATAAGAATGCTTTGCAAAAAATTGCGATGATTAGAGCCTGGGAACGAAAAAGCTCAATAATTTGTGAATTTTTGCTTATGGGGTTTTTTTGTTCCCAGGCTCCAATCATCGCAATTTTTTGCAAAAACATTTACTTATAAATGTTTGGAGTTTAAACAATGTCTGGAAGTTAGGTTTTTCTAACGCCAAAAACGGCACCACCGGTCCTGATTTAGCAGATTTAATTAACTGTCTGAAGCAAAAATAAGCAAAAAGGTGTTAAATAAATAGATTATTTTTATGTGTTTTTTTTATAATATATGAGTCAAACTAACATTTAGATTTAATACTGAAATTCAACTCGAATTTCAGAACAAAAACGTGTAGACTAATATGACGGTTTTAAAACTAAAACAACATAATTAACAGAAAATTCAAAACAGTAACAGTAAAAAAACTTAACTTCAACTGTTATATTATAAAATTACTAAAGAAAAATTAGTACCAATAAAATCCCTTAAACTAAATGCTTGAACTACTGTGCAAAAATTAGAAAACTTTTTTAACTTGTCTTTCAATTGTTATTCTTTTATCTCCGTTTAATTATAAAGCAGAAATAATGTCTGAATAATCATGTCTGATACACAAGGTGTTTTTATGCACAAAAAGCGTTTTTTTTTTTTAAATACGCATAAAAAAGCGATAAAGTTTAGAAATTAAAAAACCTGTAATATGAGTAAGTTGCTTATAAATTTAAAAACTTAGATTTAAACCCCAATTTTTCCATGCTTTTTGATTCTTGCTAGGACTATAAACTTTGAGTTTTGATTTATCCCTCTATTCTATCTTTTTAAATACAAAATGCTGTATCTTTAACTTATTTAACACTTTAAATCAATCAAGCAGCCGTGACGCAGTGGTAGCGCACTTGCCTCAAAAAGATTTAAAGACTTTTAAAGACGTCTTTTTGACGTCTTTTTTCCCACTGGGTATTCTATTTTTTAAAATACAAAATGCTGAATCTTTAACTTATTTAACTTTTTAAATCATTAACTTACATAAAGAGTTTGCGCAACTTAATGAATACGAGGTGGGGATGAAATGTAAAAGCTTTTTTCATACCAGCCTCTAATCATAGCCGTTTTTTGCAAAGCTTCATTATTTGAAATAGTATAAACATATTCAAATGATTGGAGTTTGCTCTATGTCTGGAAGCTAGATCTTAAACACCAAAAAAACCTGGATCAGTCACTGAAAAATAAATACTCTAAAGCTTAAGATTTTAATTCTTTAGCTGTTCCTCTTGGAGAAGTGAAGAGTCCTAAATAGCCTCTTTCCAGGTTTCTAAATCAAGGGTTTATGTACTTCCGTCACTATGGCTCTCTTGTTGTTGAAACATTTTGATATCCCGTCTCTTTTACAATCAAAGTTCAACGTTTTTACATATTTATAATCTTCACGCCTTATCTAGTTCTATTCAATAACTTTTGTTTTGCCATCATGTGAATTAATTTCATTATCCTCCACTACAAGTAATGCCATAGCTGCAGCAGATCTATATGAGAACCCATAGCAATCACAGACCAATGAAAGAGAATAGTAAGATAATCACATCTACTTTGAAAGATAATAACGTTAGGTTGTTTTCACCAACAGCAGTTTGTGTTAAAGTATAAGGTTTAGGATATATTTTTTTTAAAGTTTTTATTTTAGGTGCCCCAAGAAGTCCTTGCGGTGTAATAAAAGAGCATCGCGGATAAGCACTTGAGAGAAAGTTCACGTCTCCTTCCTTACCAATAATATAAAACTTGCCCAGAGGTGGCATTAAATAACGGATCTCTTACTTCTGAGACAAGCGCGCTAACCAATACCCCTCGGCTGCCTAACCACTACACTACGGCTGCAAATGCAAACAACATCTGATATTGGCTTTGATTATCTAAAAAGTTAAACTATAGATATATATAAAAGTATAGCATATATATATTGGCATTTTTACGCTGGAAGATTAATAAAAAAATTTTGAGTAGAAAATATTCGAACCGAGTAGACAAATTTGATGAATGTTAGCTGCTGTTTTTTCTTTTTATTATTCGAAAAAGTTAATAAAATTTGAGGGTTAGTTATTGCAATATTTTAAACAAAAAAAACATAATATTTTTGTTAAGAAAGAATTGTTGAGGTTATATATTATATGAGTAAAAAAACTTTTACTTTTTAAAAATAATTCAAGTGTTTTTTTGTCACGTACACATCTCCAAAAACGAGATTGCGTCACTGAGCTAAAAGCTAAAAGTTTTAATATCACAATGAAGTTAGTTGTAGTTATGTTGGTATTTTCTTAAAAGGTTGTTTAAGAAATAGAATCAAAATTAGAAGTATAACTTTAATGTTTCTGGCTTTTTAAATGCTTATCGCCAAATGAATAAATTATAATAAAAACATCTAATTAGCCTAGCAAGAATTAAAATTTCAGCGAAAACTCTATTTAAAATAGGGTTGTTCGCCGAAAAACAAAACTTGCGAAAATTTCGCATCTTTATCTACCGTAATAGAATTTTTATTGCGGAAGTTGCACATGCAAAAATGCACATTCCGTAACGCGCAATACGAAAATATAAATAAATAAAATTCCGTAATAAAGCATTGCGAAAGAAAACTTGCGAAACAAATCATTTCCTAAGAATACTTACGAAATAGTTCCTTACGGAAGATGCATTCCGGAATGTGCAGTTACGAAAAAGACGCAAAAGATTTTATGTTACGATATATTTAAGATATTAACTGTTAACAGTTTAAATAATAAATAATAAAATTATAAAAAAATGTTGTCAAATGATTCTTCAAATGTTTATACAAATATACCTAATATATATATATATATATATATATATATATATATATATATATATATATATATATATATATATACATATATATACAGTAAAATCCCGTTAAGTTGGACTCTCAAGGAACAGATAAACAGTATGCCTTTCTTTTTAAAAAGTATTAAGAGGATGTGTGATAAACAATTTAATACTTTATTATAAAGAACGAGAGATCTCTCTAAAGGTAAATGATATCAGAAAAAGTAAAAAGAGAAGAAATATATGTGAAACAGCGGGATGTGAACCTGGGTCTCCGCGGCCAAATGTCTTAACTGAATGAGCTAAAAGGTTCATTGAATCGAAAACTAGTTACTTTTAATGGAACAAAATAGGCTGTAGGAGCCTCAGGAAAATTATATTCAGAAATGATTATATTAGACTCAGAGTTAGCTAGAAATTATTACAAAGTGTTTAGGACAGGTGTCTAGTACAAAAAGCACAAGATTTAAATCAAAATGATTTATATTATTTGAAAAAGTTGTTTTACGTACATTTCATCATAATATAAGTAGAACTTATTAAAGCAAGGGAAACGTGTAGAATTAAGCACAATGAACTCAATCTTAAAAGAATAACTAACAGAAGAGAGGTTGTCACTATTATGAAGGTGACGAAAGATCTGTAATATAGAACATGGAGGTCAAAAAATGCTATCTTAAGTAAAAAGAGTTTAGTGAACAAAAGTTACAATGGCTGCGGGAAGCGAACCCGGATCTCTGCGGCAAATTATCACGTATCTAACTGATTGAACTATAAGATCTTATACTTAAATTTATATCTTATTAAAATTGAAAAACAATATTTTCTAAGATCTATACTTCGAAAAGCGTATTCAAACAAGACTCTACATACCTTTAAAATCTGCTAGAACTTTAGTAACGTGCACACTTTTAGAAAATATTGAAATAGGTTTATTTTATCAGAAATATGCTTAAGCTAAAGCATATTTCTGAGTCTCTTTTTACTATTTGCTTAAGCATATTCGAACCTGTTTCAAAAATTTCATATGCTTTAAAAAAAAAAACATGTATATTTCTACCTATCATTCTTATTTTTAATATACGTAATGAATTCAAAAAACATCGTTATATATATTTATTATGGCACATTTCGTAAGTTTATTTCCGTTAAGAATTTTTTCGTATGTTGTGATCCGAAATACTTTCGTTTCGAAATAAATTTTATTTTTTATCAACATTTCTAAAAATAAAACCATAAAAATTTAATATGTTATTATACTGAAAATAAAAATTCATTATAAACATTATGGGATTTAAAAATGTTAATTTTTACAATTAAAATCAGTCTGGCAAACAAATTTTCTTTATAGACTTCAAAACGTCTTTTGGCGAAAATGTTTGTTTCGCAAGTGCGACTTCCGAAACCGCTACTTTCGTATGTTGCAAAATAGTTTTGTTTCGTATGTCAACTTGCGAAATGCTAAATTTCGGAAGTGGCTTTTGCGAAATGAACATCGGCGATTTTAAATGTTTTGTAACATTCGGTACGAAAAAATGTAATTCCTAGTTCTCAATCTCCTTACGAAAGAATATTTTTTTTTTCGGAATTGCACGAAATCCTCCGGTTAACAACCCTAATTTAAAAGTGTACTGATAAAAAAACACTTTTTTCCGCGTTGCGTCACTGAACTCATGTTTTGATTTTTGATAGTTGTCAGTAATATGTTAATACAATTATGATTAATTAATATTATGAAACTTTAATTCAAGATTGATTTAGAGTAATAAAAAGTTATATATATATATATATAAACAAATATATATATATATATATATATATATATATATATATATATATATATATATATATATATATATATATATATATATATATATATATAGATATAGATAAAACAAGGAGTTTATATATATAGATAGATATATATATATATATATATATATATATATATATATATATATATATATATATATATATATATATATATATATATATATATATATATATATATATATATATATATATATATATATATATATATATATATATATATATATATATATATATATATATATATATATATATATATATATATATATAGATATATATATATATACATATATATATATATATATATATATAGATATATATATATAGATATAGATAAAACAAGGAGTTTATATATATAGATAGATAGATATATAAATATATATATATATATATATAATATATATATATATATATATATATATATATATATATATATATATATATATATATGTATACATATAGATATAGATAAAGATATAGATATAAGAGGAAGTTTATATATATATATATATATATATATATATATGTATATATATATATATATATATATATATATATATATATATATATATATATATATATATATATATATATATATATATAAATATGTAGATATAAGAGAGAGTTTATATATATATATATATATTTATATTTATATATATATACATATATATATAAATATGTAGATATAAGAGATAAATTATATATATATATATATATATATATATATATATATATATATATATATATATATATACGTATATATATATATATATAAATATATTTATATATATATATATATATATATATATATATATAGATAATATATATATATATATATATATATATATATATATATATATATATATATATATATATATATATATATATATATATATATATATATATATATATATATATATATATATATAGAGAGAGAGAGAGAGAGAGAGAGAGAGAGAGAGAGGGAGAGAGAGAGAGAAGGAGAGATAAAGTTTTTATATTTTACTAAAAATACTAGCCTTCATTTCCATTAATAATTCTTAGGTCTTTAATATAACCATCGAGCTCAATATATATATATATATATATATATATACGTATATATATATATAAATATATATATATATATATATATATATATATATATATATATATATATATAGATAATATATATATATATATATATATATATATATATATATATATATATATATATATATATATATATATATATATATATATATATATATATATATATAGAGAGAGAGAGAGAGAGAGAGAGAGAGAGAGGGAGAGAGAGAGAGAAGGAGAGATAAAGTTTTTATATTTTACTAAAAATACTAGCCTTCATTTCCATTAATATTTCTTAGGTCTTTAATATAACCATCGAGCTCAATGTGCCATGGATTTGCTGCATACACATTTATATTTGTAAATGTTTGTGGTAGTGTATTTTTAATGCTATAAATATTATTTCCCTTCAAATACACTGAATACATATAAACCTCATTAATTTGAAATTGAGAAATTCTAATACTAGACCATTCGTTTGACTTTATTGGTTCCGTTAAAATGCAATAGCTATGATCTCCATTTACTGATGAGCAAATTAACATCTTTCCTGAGCCATCGTTGTTAAACCATACTCCTGGAATTCTATACCCGTTAATCCCATAATCACCTCCAATAGTCAGATGAATAACAGATATATAATCACCTGCGTTATATGATTTCGGTTTAACTTTAAAAGAAACAGAGTATGATTTTTCTAGCAAGGGCAATGTTGCGATCAGATTATCTTTTATCAACGCATGTTCTTTAAGATCTTCTAATAAGTCTATAAGAAATAATTGAAACCTAAGTAAACTGCAGTTTATAAGTAAAAGAATAATAAAAACTAGCTGGGGTGACCCGTAAAATACGGGTCTTTACCGAACCGACCATTTTTATACTTATCTATAGCTATCCGGACGTAAACTAAGGGTCTTAGTAAATCTATTCTACACCGACCTTTTCTATACTTATTCCTTACCTCAATATTTTTTTAAAACCGTTTAAAAATGTACATATAAAAAACTATACTTACTTTTTGATATGACAAAAACATTTCTGTTAAAATGTTCTTTTAAAAACTTCAAACGATCTTAATATTATGCCGATTATAAAAATTTTAATAAGAAAAAACGTAAAAAAGACTACGAACTTAGAAAAATGCTAAAACATTCAACACGTGACGCCGTTAAAGTACGCCTTAGTTAACGTTCATAACATATACACATCTAATTAGATTTTATTTAAACTCAGTTGTTGCAAACTTGGTTTTGAATTTTTAATTACACTTCTTATGCGTCATAAATAATCTTAAATTTAAATAGAAAATACGTTTATGGGCTAATTGGTAGACGCGCAACACTTAGACATTTATAGTCATCTTACCCCGGGAGTTCATACTCCAGTGACTTTTTTTTTTCATCCCAACTTACAACAAAAGTAATTAAAAATAAATGTTATCATTGAAACAGTTTTAAATATTTCTTCCTATTTATCTTTGAACTTAACTTTATTCACTGCAAACATACTTTTGGTGTTTGTAAGCGTTATTTTACGTTTAGTATTTGTAGGAATTATTTGCACGCACGTATTTTAAACAATTATTTTTACTGTTTCATCTAAAAATCTTATTTAATTTAGTTTAATAATTTCTTAAGTATAATATATATAATATAATTTAAAATATTTTATTAACCCTATTTAAATAAGTATCAAAACTCTTTCCTTTAATTTAAAAAGAATTTAAAATTAACGTAGGCTATAACGATATTTTACCCTTTCATCAACATTTATTTAAAAAGTAAATTTGGATATAGAAAAACGGGTTAAAGACTTATTATTTTAAATAAGTTAGCTTTATCTATTTAATGCTTTTCGTAAAAGCGTTTCTTTAAAGACTCTTAACAAATCATTCAAGCTGTTTTTACTGCCTAAGTTATTAAACCTGTTGTGTGTGCCAAAAATCGATACTTAATGCAAATGGAAACTTCGAGTGCTAATGGTGATTAAAGCATAAATGGTTCCTATTCATATATAATAAAAGGAAATATGAAAGACAAAGCAAAAATGATTTTTATATCCATTTAAACCAATAAATCCCAAAATAAAAAAATATAGATATTTACTTAAAAACATATTTTTCTTGATATAAAATAAAAATATAACCTTTAGTACAAATTACAAAAAAAAAATTTATTCAACAGAGCTACTTATAATACAATTTAAATTGAATCATTGTTTCATAAATATTAAGCTTTAGGTAAGCCATAATCAAGTCAGCTATAAGAAACGGAACTAAAAATGGAACAAAGTTATTTAAACGCATAATCATAATCATACACATTAATTACAAATTAACATGTCATGCAATCAATACTTTTGAAAACTCAAAAATGCGAATAAGAAACTTACTTTTTTATTTTTACATAACCCTGACAGACCAACATGAATGTGAGCTAAATCTATTTGCATAAAACATCACAACAATTAATTAAATAGCAGAACCACCTCCAAAGGACAAAAAAATTAGTTTTTTAAGGAAAATTAGAGTTATTGGGAGGGGAGGTATTAATAAATAAAAAAGCTCAACTTGAATTTAAAAATTAGTTCATAGTTTTATTCATAGTTGAGGGTTATTGAGTTATTCCGAGTTTATTATACATATTTTAAACTACTGACACCACACACTTATATTCTTAGTTCTGGAAGGTGCTAGATAGAATTTGATTGTGTGAAAACCAAATCCCTTTGAGATTAACATTAACTTTATCAAATGTATGACCGTGACTTTTATTTCTAGTTAATGAGCATGGTTGATAAAGGTGTCTTTATTTAAATGATTTACTTTGATAACATTTAACATTCATGGGAAAAATAAAAAACAACACAAAAATAAATTTACAAAAATATATTACAAAAAAAAAAATGAAGTGGCTCAAAAGTTGTCAATTTCTTTACGTTTTAATATGTAAAAAAATTATTGACAACTTTTGCGCCACGTTGTCTTCTCCTCCCAGCATCCGCTCTATTCCCCGTGTTGTATGGGGTGCCATCCCTCCATCTAAAGGAGGGATGGTCGTCCCCATACAAACACCAGCGATGGAAGGCCCTCATAGATAGAGGGCCTGGATGCTGGGAGCGATACTTTCTGAATTCTTCCTATGACTTCGAGCCTGAAAAAAAAATTATATATAAATACAACTATGTACCAAGGTAATACTTACAAAAAATCTACTGTAAAAAAACAATAAAAGCAAATAATGTAATAAATTAAGTACAAGTGAGCACAACAACTTATTTATTTTACTCACTAATACTTGACTTATTACATTAACTAATTAAACTGGAAAGCACATTTGTAGCTATATTAAAAAACAAAAGGTACAATAAAAGCAATCAATCAATGTAATAAGTCAAGTAAAGGTGAATATAACAACTTACTTGTAACAGAAGAAGCAGCAGCTAGAGATAAATAAAAGAAAATTAAAAATGCAATAAAACCAATTAATCCATAAATTAAGTCAAGTATAAGTGAATAGAACAACTTACTTGTAACAGAAGAAGCAGCAGCTAGAGAAAAATAAAAGAAAATTAAAAATGCAATAAAAACAATCAATCAATGTAATAAGTTAAGTAAAAGTGACTTACTTATAACAGAAGAAGCAGCTAGAGATAAATAAAAGAAAGTTAAAAATGCAATAAAACCAATTAATCCAATTTAAGTCAAGTATAAGTGAAAGAAACTGCACCTCTAACATGCAAAAGTAACATTCTAAGATAAAATATTTCACCTATTGGACTCACTTTATACATCCTAACAATCACCTTATTGCTACCTCTTTGCCTAACTTTCCATTTACAATGTGTGCTATCAAAAACAAAGTGGTAAGGAATTTCAACATATGGATAGTGTCGGGCTTGTTCATTTTCAACATTTAATTTAAACCATGCAGTTAGGTGAGTGTCACGCTGTGCTGCACGGTCTAAAGCTGCCTGTTCTTCGCCTTCTACAAAATATATCATCTGATTATCTAGCAGATGAACCTGAAGTCGAATGATGTTATGTGACATATCACTTAAAGAATACTCAAATATTCGCCACAATGCTTCTGGAGCTGAGACATAGCGACAATTTAAAAACGTGTTTATTTCATCATGGTTAACTTGCTCATTTATCACCACATTGGCACAGTCATGCCCTTTGTAAATGTACTTATATAAATACTTAACTGACTTTATGGTCATGCAGGCTTCAACATTTATGTGTGCTTGATATTTTTTAGAAAGCCATGGGTTATAAGGTACAACCCAACGGTTGTCAACTTGATTACCTTTTATATTTACAATTCTTCCATTATCGACGCGCCTATAGCGTGGATAACCATTAAAAATTGCAACAGTGTGGGGATTAAATTCCTTAGGAAATTTTTTTGTGTATTTACCATCTTTCATGCAGGGAGAATTGGGATTTAAAATTCCACATGGTCCATGTATCATGCATGATTTTATAATTTCAAAAAGTTCAGGATCAACAGCTGGGTCTGGGATTTCTGCTGATATCAAACTATCAATATCTTCTGCTGTTTCTAGCTTATCAGCATTTACAAAGTGCAATAAAATATGTACATGTGGCAAACCACGCTTTTGAAACTCAATAACCTGCACATGACTTACAACTTTGCCTAAGACTCCATGCTTAAAAATATCCTCTAAGAAAAATTTAAGTTTCATTTTAAATACCCGACAAACTAAATCAGGTCTGTCATTAGCAGTTTGGCCTGGGTTTAAATTTTCTACTATTTCTCTCCATTTTGGATTGCAGGTAAAAGTAATGAATAGATCTGGTTTACCATATTTCTTTATGACTGCCATCGCATCTTCAAAGTTTTCTTTTATTGCTCTTGGACTACCAACATATGAAGAAGGCAATATAACAACACGGCCTGGTCTTACATTAAGATCATTAGCACGATTAATTACATGTTCATGCAATGCATCATATTGCTCACTTCTAAGTTTGTTTTGGTTATTTCTAATAAAAGCAAGGCGCTGTCCCTCAACTTTGACATATGCATCAACAACATATTGCTGAAAAAGTTTCTTACCATAGAATATAGGACTAAAAGTTTGTCTAACAGCAAGCCTATAATTATAATACTGAGACAAAGTAACATGGTTTCTAACACGGGTTGCACGGTCAGGGTTGTGCTCTAGTTGATTGTGCCATCCAGCATCACCTCTCGGGAAGAATATTGGATATACCAAAGGATCCAAATTTGCAGACATAGACGAAATTGTTCTTAAAGGCTGACCTCGAGGGTATATAACAATTTCCCTGGATGCAGGTGGAGCACCATCATCTCCCACAAACACAATAGCAACTTCCTCATGGGAAGGAAGATTGTATCGACGTCTATCATGACCTTCAAGCAAAGACATTCTTACAACAGAGGTTGGTCTACCTTCTAAAGCTGCTTGGCGGATTTCTTCATCCTCTACTTCTGCCATGTTTTTAAATGCAAGAGCAAATGGGTTTTCTTGATTAATTAATGTTTGCAAGAGTTGCATTAACTCATGTATACAACCATCATTACCAGGTTGTTCCATTCTGAATGACACTGCTGCATTAGGATCATAGATATACAGCTGACAATATTTGGGCAGACAACCTTCTGCAGGCCTTAAATTTCCAACACGATGCAAAATTTGCCCACAGACCCTAAAACAGAAAGGGCCATTATTTGAGGGAGGAGCTATTTCGGCAGTGAAGGAAGCAAAAGATAAAGA